AAAAAAAAAAAAAAAAAAAAATACCAAACAAGAGCGAAATCTTCGTCAGGGAAAAAATAATGGATATTTTTAAATATAGATTTTTTGAAAATTTATGTTCAAAATTATTTTATTGAGAAAATACGTAAATGAAAATACATTCTTAGTTTAATAAAAATTAAATATTTAGTAAATTTTAATAATAACTGATAAAATATGTGCTTAAGGGTGTTTTTGAGCCACATTTTTTTGAAAGAATGTATTTTGAAATAGTAGATTGATGAAAAATGTATGATTGAAAAATAAGGAAAAGTTATTGATGTGATGAAAAATATTATTTTATTGGAAAATGTGTGATTGAAAATGAGTAGAAGAATTAGAATGAAAATTTTAATATGGATCAAACATTGACTAAAAAATATGAATCTCATGTGGTTTAGAACACGTTCAAGCCCCATTTTTGATTAAAAATGCATTTTGAAATAGTATATTGATGGAGACTGTATGATTAAAAAATAAGAAATAATTTTGAATTTACATGTGTAATATTATTTTATTGATGAACATGTGATCGATCAAACAATCCAATAGTGTCAAGGAAGCTAACTCCAGTTACAGTATGATGTAGTACGGCACATTGGTTCTTGTGAAACATTAATGGCTTTGAGTTCTTCTATATAGAGGATAGCATCAACTAATTTCAAGTGCGTTACTTGCAAAAGAAAAGATAAAAGAGTTCTACTTGAATTTACTACGATGTGGGAAGAGAATTTGCTTTCTCAATTGAGATCCCGATATGCACCACGGCGTCGCCGCCGCCAGGTAAGTCTCTGTTGGCCTCTGTTTTCAAACTGTAACTGTGTTTTTTTACATAAAGCCATGTTTATTGTAGGATTCAGGAACGTCCAAAGCATCCAAAAGGGCTCGCAAAATTCCTGTCCCTGCTGATGAGTATGCAGATCCAGATAGAATAAGTTCTTTACCTGATAATGTTCTTCGCCGTATTTTATCTTTTCTCGATACAAAATATGCTGTTGCTACGTCTGTTTTATCCACTAGATGGAAGGATCTCTGCATTTCTCTTCCTAACATAGTTCTTGACGATTCTTTAACTTTCAAGAAAAGGAAAAAGAATTTTGAGAAGGCATTTGAAAAGTTTGCATGTAAGCAAATTGTGCTGCGAAATGTACCTAATATCAATCAATTTCGCCTCAAATGCAATTTCATTGAGGATTCTACAATTGGTGATATAGTATGCGCTGCAATCTGTTGCAAAGTTAAAGAGGTTGATCTTTGGATGGGAGATAGCACAACTGTTGGAATCTTACCGCTTGAACTTTTCGTATGTCACTCACTGGTAGTCTTGAAACTAAGAGCGGCTGTTGAGTTATTTGTCTGGGAATATGTCAGTTTACCTAATCTAAAGGTGCTGCACTTGGTAGATTTTATGTTAGACGGCGATCGCTCGATGAACAGATTATTTCAGGGTTGTAAGTTTCTGGAAGAGTTGTTTCTATCTAGGTGCTCCTTTGGGAATAATAGAGTACTTAATCTTTCCTTTCCCTTGCTCAGAAAACTTTCTATTGATTATGGTGATGGTCATTTCATGGATTTTCTTGGTGATGGTAATGCGAAATGTAAACTTGTCATTGACACGCCAAATCTGGAGTTTTTTGAGTACCATTGTCATGAAAATGAATTCCACTTGGTGAATAATCTAGACTCTCTTGTTCGAGCGAAAATTTCTTTCATTTCAAAGTTGAAAAAATGGGAAAATGTATCTGAGCTTTTCAACAAGATGCATGGAGTCAAGTCACTTTATTTATCAGAAAGTGCTCTAGAGGTAAATCATGAGTTTTAATATCTTCTCAGAAACTCATAGTGTAAGTATAGTAGTAGTTAATAAATACAAAATGTTTACTCATCTCTCCTTTGATTGAAGGTCATGTACTCCAATTGTTCTTCACTGTCCGTGTTCGAAACTTTGACATTCCTGGAGCTCAGTGCTTTTGACCTTCGAATACTGCCAAACATACTAGAAAGAGCACCTCAACTTGAAGAGCTTGTTATTCATAAGGTGAGCTTCATCGAGTAGTTTCTAGTCTAGAGTAAGAAATCGACGAGTAAATTTTCTGTAATCTAATATTCTAATTCTATCCTTAACAGCATGGCTTTGATGATGAAGCTGTTCTCTATACGCTGCCAGAGACTCTGCCCGTGTGTTTGCTTGAACATATCAGGAATATTGAATTTAAAAAATTCATTGGGTCTGAACATGACTTTGAGCTGGTGAAGTACTTGTTACAGAATGGAAAAGTGTTGAAAAGAATGAAAATTGCGGGGCTAGGACAGCCGACTTCAGACTTGTCGACATCAACTTCCAAGAAAATTTCAATGTTCCCAAGGTGCTCGGAGACTATTGAGATTATATTTGAATATGATGATCAAAATTTGGAATTTAGTCCGTAATATTTGTTTGTGACATGTAGTATGGATTAAGAGACGAATCTTTTGCTTAGGCTATCCTTGCTTAGATTTTTACCACCACTTTTGGATCGTCGTGTTAATCTATTTTGTAGCTTTTCAAGTTCTGCATCTCATGGTCGATTCACGTTCTTTTGGGGTTTTCTTGTTTTTGAGTTTGGTCTCATTGAAATCTGAATGTTACTCTATTTGCAAGCATTAATTAATCTAATGAACCTCTCTTTATCGGCCAGTTTGACCTATTTTTGAATTTATAAAATCAAAAACTAAACCTAGTATTCTTTTCAATAGTAAATTTGCAGGTAATATCTAATCACTCTTCTAATACTTCACTTCTGTGAGAAGAGAAGCAAATACGAAAACGAAGCGGAAAATAAATCAAATGAAGATTATAACATTATTTAATGATGACTATAAGTCATGAGCACTTAGTTACATTTGTTCCTATTTATAATAAAATAAGAATACCAAGTTTCCACTATTTTGTGACTAATGTATATTTAAAGAATATATAACAAATATCAATTTAACAACTTTTATCCTTTGATTTGAATTTGACAGTCTTATCATTCCAAGATTTTCTAGTCTCATCCTCATCATTTCTGTTGTGATTTGTGTGACATTTCTAACATCCTCCAGAAAATTGTGCTGGGGTTGAAGGCACAGTTTGTTTTGAAAAATTGAGAGCCGTCTTGGACAGCAATGATTTTTATCTTCATTCTTACGAAGACATGGTGTTTTTGTACTGTTGCCATGAATATTGATTTGGTGTAGAAGCCAGCAATTGTTTTTATCTTCATTCTTGCGAAGATATGTTGTTTTTGTATTGTTTGGATGTAATGTATTTGATGTGGACAATGTCTTCATTTGTGAAATGATCCACCTGTAACACATTTGTCAACTTTGGTATGAAATTTGCTACTTTTGTTGTTTTGTTTGGATTTGCTAGGATGTATTTGATTTGTTTGGATTTAGTGGGATGTATTTGATGGATGAGAATCAATGAGATATAGGCGAGTGTAAAGAAGTTGTCAATATTTGCTGATAGTAAAGTGATAGTGGAAGAAATGACTTGTAATATGCCAAGTGCTCACAATGGCTCTGATACCAAGAAGAAAATACGGAAACGAAGTGGAAAAAATAAATCAAATGCAGATTATAACATTATTTAATGATGACCATAGGCCATGAGCACTTAATACACATTTTTTCTTATTTATAATAAAATAAGAATACCAACTTTCTACTATTTTGTGACTAATGTCTATCCTGATGATCAAAATTTGGAATTTAGTCGGTAATATTTGTTTGTGATATGTAGCATGGATTAAGAGACGAATCTTTTGCTTAGGCTATCCTTGCTTGGATTTTTACCACCACTTTTGGATCGTCGTGGTAATCTATTTTGTAGCTTTTCAAGTTCTGCATTTCATGGTCGATTCACGTTCTTTTGGGGTTTTCTTGTTTTTGAATTTGGTCTCATTGAAATCTGAATGTTCCTCTATTTGCAAGCATTAATTAATCTAATGAACCTCTCTTTATCGGCCAGTTTGACCTATTTTTGAATTTATAAAATCAAAAACTAAACCTAGTATTCTTTTCAATAGTAAATTTGCAGGTAATTTCTAATCACTCTTCTAATACTTCACTTCTGTGATAAGAGAATTAAATACGAAAATGAAGCGGAAAATAAATCAAATGAAGATTATAACATTATTTAATGATGACCATAAGCCATGAGCACTTAGTACACACTTGTTCCTATTTATAATAAAATAAGAATACCAACCTTCCACTATTTTGTGACTAATGTTATCCAAAGAATAGATAACAAATATCAAATAACAATTTAACAACTTTTATCCTTTGATTTGAATTTGACAATCTTATCACTCCAAGATTTTCTAGTCTCATCCTCATCATTTCTGTTGTGATTTGTGTGACATTTCTAACATCCTCCAGCAAACTGTGTTGGGATTGAAGGCACAGTTTGTTTTGAAAAATTGAGAGCTGCCATGGACATTGATTTGGTGAAGAAGCCAGCAATGATTTTTATCTTCATTCTTGCGAAGATATGTTGTTTTTGTATTGTTTGGATGTGATGTATTTGATGTGGACAATGTCTTCATTGGTGAAATGATCCACCTGTAACACTTTTGTCAATTTTGGTATGAAATTTTCTACTTTTGTTGTTTTGTTTGGATTTGCTAGGACGTATTTGATTTGTTTGGATTTGGTGGGATGTATTTGATGGATGAGAATCAATGAGATATAGGCGAGTGTAAAGAAGTTGTCAATATTTGCTGATAGTAAAGTGATAGTGGAAGAAATGAGTTGTAGTATGCCAAGTGCTCACAATGGCTCTGATACCAAGAAGAAAATACGGAAACAAAGCTGAAAAAATAAATCAAATGCAGATTATAACATTATTTAATGATGACCATAGGTCTTGAGCACTTAATACACATTTGTTCTTATTTATAATAAAATAAGAATACCAACTTTCCACTATTTTGTGACTAATTCAAATAACAATTTAACAACTTCTATACTTTGATTTAAATTTGACAATTTTATCACTCCAAGATTTTCTAGTCTCATCCTCATCATTTCTGTTGTGATACGTGTGACATTTCTAACAAGAAGCATGAGAAAATTAAAAAGCAATAATTAAAGATCGATCAAACACGAGTACAGTTCAAAGTAATGGCACCAGACAAAATACAGTATATAAGATTGCGATACAGAGACTTCAAATTGGTCCATGAAATATAATCGAAGTCACAGATTCTTCCCTATCAATTAAATCTTTGAACAAATACCAACCCTGTGACCTTAAATGTTGGACATCAGGGTAGATTTTCAGTGTTCAACAACCTTTCTTACTACAACTTTAGCTCAATACCAAGTAGCGGTTATGCTCATTCTAACTTTTTTCTACACATAATCAAGCCATATACTCCAGTATGTGAATGCCAATCAATTCAAGTAAATCGAAGTATGTTCGTAAGTTGTCCCTGTCATCAGTCATTCAGTGAAATTGTTGTTCTGTGTGTCAATGTGATCCACTTCCAAACTACTGGTGGTGACTTCGTCAACAAGAAGTCAACAACAAGAAAGTAAGTTTATAAGACGTAACACTGCAGAAAAGCGAGAATGAATCTCTAAATACTAGGTAGTGGCAATTAGAACATAACTTTCAGTAGTTAGGTAAGAAGTAACACTGGAGAAAAAAGCGGAAAGAATTTAAGAAAATCTCTAAATACGAGGTCATGTTGTGGTGTAAATTTAGTGTATGTTCAGGAGTGCGTGCATGAGTGTGTAATTAAAAATGACCGTAGATCCTCATTTTTACTTTTCATTCCTAAATCTTCATACTGGCCAGAAACTTTGATAGATACTATCTTGCAACTACCTTATCAATTGCCCTCTTTATATGAAAAAGTTACCCCGAAAAAGTAATGTATATGGAGCAGATGGAGACAAATATGCATTGTGGGAGCCTTTACAGCAGTAAAAGAAGCAGGAGGGACACTCCCCGGGGGTGGGGTGTCGGGAACAAAAAGAGACAAAGATGTATCTTCTAAGTTTCAGAAATCAAATGTAAACATTGCAGGGAAATACTGAGTATAAAAAAAATACCAGCTGGTAGGGGGGTTACCAAAAAAATTGACTCCTGAATTTGAGATAAAGTGTAAACTTTGCAGGGAAATAATAGGAATATTTTTAGGTAGTAACTGGATCAGAAAAAGGACTGATAAGACCACAAATTGCTTAATGAAAAATTGCAATGAATAAAGAGTAAAAACTTTTGCTAGTCCAGTGAAAAGCATTGGAAGAACAATCTTCGACTCTTAAATTTTCACTAGTAGAATGGGATAGCAGTAACCAGACTGCTAATTTCCCGGTGATATGAAAACATTTTCCAAAATATTCATAATTATGCTTTGTTTATCATCTGAGTTTTGCAACTTTCAATCAAGATTTACCCAAGCAAAACTTCGGCAGCTTAAACCCATTAAGTTACTTTATAATTTAAGATGGTCAAACTTACTTTTTAACCAAACAAGCTTATAAGCACTTTAAAACACTACCAAACAAGCACTAATAAATGCTATAACTATTAATCAATTATGATGTGACTGGTGGAGATACTACAAAATGAAATCACTTCAACAGAGATGAGCAAATGAATGGGGAAAAGAGGGATACCTGAAAAGCCGAATTAGATAGCAACCACCACTTGTTGGTCGAGTTTGGCGACGTGATATTGCAGCTCTTGGAACTGTAGAAGACTGCATATATGTTTCCATCAATATCTTACTTATCTACATCATTAGTAAAATTTGATGCTATCGATTCTGAATCATCAATCCTTTCTGTTGCCAACTGGCTGTCTAAGATATCCAAAACATTGTCTGGTGGACATTTATCTGCATGATTCATCGAAGATGTCTGGCAAAAGCACTCGGGCCAGGAATTTGTATAGAATGATTCAGGTGGCAATCGCTTGTGAGGCCCACCAAAATTTGTGCTTAGCATCACTTGTCTAACAGCTTCTTCAAAACCTGTGGTCTGCCCCTTCTCGCGATCAATAAAGATAGGGGCAAGAGATTTTCTATCAGGCCGAATGGTTGTACGGAAACCATAATAGAGGCGGTGGCCGAGGAGATTATTTGCAAAGTTGCTTGGCCCATCATAAGTGGGCATGAAAATATCCGCGAGGAGACAAACCATGTAATCCACGGCAGAGCCCAATAAATGCAGAGCCCAACAAGCCATGTGTATTCTTCGCCAGCTCGCCAGTGGTGTCTACTGTACTATGATTCTCAAGGCGAGGAAACAAGGATCGAAAAGGTTTCATAAATCGATCACCTCCAAATAGTTCGCCAGCTGCTAGATATATCCTGGTAGAGTTATCAAACCCCATTGCTCGTAAGATGAGACCTACCTGCAGCAAATTGGTATAATAAATTAAATATCTT